TTGGGGACCAACTAAACGTGGCCTGTGTCGACGGAGAAATGGACGCAGCAGCCCATGGCCATCACAAGTGGCAGACCTGCTATGCCTGGTCTTCTGTATGATTAGTATTTCAGAAACGTGAGGCTGAAATTGTGCTACCGTTCTCATAGATCAAGAGCATTGCATTGTACTATTGTAGTACTCCTACTGTCCTACAAAACATGGTCCAGTGTTTCCCCTAGGAAGCAGAAGCAAGAGCAAGAGCAAGAGCAAGAGCAGTGTTGGTGATAGGAAATGGAAGGCTCCACCGGCGGGGTTCGGATCGTGTCCAGGCGTCTCGTCCGGCCAGAGCAGGCCGCGGGCTCGCCGGACGACAGCGCGCCGTCGGAGCCGGAGACCATCCACTTGACACCGTGGGATCTCCGCATGATCACGGTGGACTACATCCAGAAGGGACTGCTCCTGCCCAAGCCACGGACAGCAGGAGGAGGAGCACAGCTCGTGGACAACCTCGCTTCGTCCTTGGCGCGCGCCCTGGCCCGCTTCTACCCGCTGGCCGGCCGCCTCGCCGTCACCGCCACGGATGATGCCACTGGAGATCCGAGCATCGTCGTCTCGCTCCGCTGCAACGGCGAAGGCGCCGAGTTCGTCCGCGCCGAGGCGCCGGGGGTCACCGTCAGCGACATTATCGCGTCCGACCCCGGCTATTACATCCCAAGCTCGGTGGTGTGGTCGTTCTTCCCGCTGAACGGCCTGCTTGGCACGGACGCCGCCTTGGACGACGACGACGGCTCCCGCCTCGCCGTGCTAGCAGCTCAGGTCACCGAGCTCGCTGACGGCGTCTTCGTCGCCATGTCGCTCAACCACGCCGTCGCCGACGGGACCACGTTCTGGCACCTGTTCAACACCTGGTCGGAGATCAGCCGGACGAGGGACGGCTGTGAGCTTTCCACGCCGCGGCCGGTGCTGGACAGGTGGTTCCTCGAGACCAGCCCGGTGCCCATCGCTCTGCCCTTCGGCAAGCTGGAGGACATCGTCCGGCGGCCCGTGTACCTGCCGGTGCGGGAGTGTTTCTTCGACTTCTCAGCCGAGAGTGTGAAGAAGCTAAAGGAGAAAGCGAACGCCGAGATGGCCGGCACGGCGACGGCGACGGCCACGGTGTCGTCTCTGCAGTCCCTGCTCGCGCACCTGTGGCGAGCGTCGTGTCGGGCCCGGGAGCTCGCGCCGGACCGGGAGACCACGTACATCCTCCTCGTCGGGTGCCGGGCACGGGTGAAGGGGATTCCACAAGAGTACATGGGCAATGCCGTGACGGCCGCCATGGCCAGGTCGACGGCCGGCGACGTGGTGAGCAAGGGGCTGGGGTGGGCGGCGTGGCTCCTGAACCGCGCCGTGGCGGCGTTCGACGAGGCGAGCGTGAGGGACGACCTCGCGTCGTGGCCGCGGGATCCCAGGTTCGTCTACGTGGCGAAGCCTACCAGGGAGGAGGACCCCGCGATGGTCATCACCGGGAGCTCGTCGCGGTTCGACGTCTACGGCAACGACTTCGGCTGGGGCCGGCCGGTGGCCGTCCGCAGCGGCGCAGGGAACAAGACGGACGGGAAGGTGACCGTGTACGAGGGGCGTGACGGCGGGGGAAGCATGGCGCTGGAGGTGTGTCTGGCGCCCAAGGCGCTCGCCAGGCTCGTTGCCGACGAGGAGTTCATGGAGGCGGTGAGCGCCGCCGTGGCGTGATCCAAAGGTGTACGCACTCCGCCGCGCCGTTGGTAGCTGTGGCCTGTGGCTGTGCTGAGAGCCACGTGTACCATTGAGCTAGGTTGTAATCTTGAAAGATTAATTTCTTCCTCTCGTTTTTTCATTTGATTTGATGAACAAGGCATGCATGGACGAGATCCATCCACGTAGCAGATTCTGTTGCGACGCAACAAGTATTGAGTGACCGGTGACGTATAAGTGCAAGGTTCCGCCGATGCATCCGCGACGGTGCATGGGTTGGCCACCATGGCAGAAGGCTGTCACTCCTGTCACGACATGTACTCCCTCCGTCCAAAAAGTGTGATTCTTGTTTTTTGAGAGGTCAAAAACTTTTTTGTCATAAATCTATGAACAGATATTACTCTCTCCGAGTAAAAAGAATAGTCGTTAAAACTTCTATTCTCTTAATATAAAAACACGTAAGTCTTTGCGTGATGGAGAAAAAAATATAGATAAAAAATCAAAATGTATTATAATTTGAAAGGGACGGAATAGTCGTTATCTAATGATGCTTTATTTGGTGCGCACTAAATGGCCAGCATTGCCCCTGATTCTCTCTCTGCCAGCAAGGTTGTAGGTTCAGCGACGTCTTGACTTGACCCTAGCGCTGCAGTGCCCAGAGGGATTCCACCAGAGTACTTGAGCTTTTCACTGTCACTGGCAAACGCTGCCATCTTCGTATTCCTGTTACAGGTATCCATGTAAAAACCTCTTTTGAGTGAACGAATTCAAATGTGCACACAATGCTGAGATCATTTCTTTCGTCTGCAGGGCGCCCACCATCGACGCATTGCAAATTCAACCATCCTGAGCCTTGCGTCCTATGACCTGTTAGGAGCTGGGGGTTGCATTCATATATGTGTTGAGGAGATGGAGAAAGCACACTCGGCAGAATGCCCCTAGTTTGTAGGAGCTTGAAGAGGCACCCAATGCTATACACTACAGGTTGAACTAGAGAGCGATTTTGTAGCATGCTAGTATCTCACGTTTTCTTTGTTTCTGACTCCCTTCATCTGGAAGTTGTGTAGCATATGTAGGATAGTATATATGTTTTTTGTTCCAAAAAGTTGTTGAAATTGAAGGTTGGCAATTTGTGTGTGCGTGCATCGGGATTCGGGGCCACTTGCTTGACGAATGACGAGCCCGGCCGTGTTGCAATGCGTAGCAACGCAAAGGGAGAAGCGTACTTTTGGCCATCCAACTAACGTTGAGTCTGGTTTTGGCCAATAAACTCGAAAACTAGGAATCTTTGACCATGTAACTATTGATACTGCTTATATTCGTCCCGTCTGCTGTTTTGATTGGTGCTTTTGGTGAGGTGGTTTACAAATTTTGAAAGTCAATATTTTGAAATGTTAAATGTGAACGATACCAATAGTTGGATAGTTAAAGATTCCTGATTATTTTAGTTTAATGACAAAACCAAACTCGGACGAAAGTTTAGACGGCTAAAAATAGACTTTTCCCAAGGCAAACGCTTGAGCGCAGCGTCCGCGAGGGACTCCACATGACATGAGGTTGATCCGTGAACCTGACCAAGGGGGGTGCCACACGGCGGACACGGGTCTATCCAATTGGGCGGCGCAGATGGGATGACAGGCGGGCATGCAATCTGCCGGTGATCTGTTCTGGACGGCTGGACCACCCCCACCAAACGGTGAGAAAGACGAAGGAAAGCAGCATGCATATATGCTCTGTGACTCTGTGAGGAATCGATGTGCGCAATAATTGTGGATATGTGCTCTAGAGGAATCGAATGTGTCAATCTTTCCCAACTGAGAATCTGACTTTACTTTAAGGCCAGTGTACCCTCTGTCCCAAAAAAGATTACACATCTCAGTTTTAAGAAGTCAATTTTTTATTAAGATTGACAAAATATATAAAAATTACTAATATTTATCATGTGTAATAAATAATACTCTCCCAGTATCTTCGTTTCAAATTGTAAATCATTATGGATTTTTTTAGATACACAACTTTTGCTATGATCCTAGGTATATATTTTTTATTTTGCGAAACGATTGGGTATATATATAAGAAAGAACTATATACAAAGAACCATTGAGAAATTTTTGAACTGTTTAAAAGAATATGAATGTTGGTTGTCATGGTGAATATGTCGATTATTTTAATAAATGTTAAGTAATGGTCCTAGAAACATGTTTCTTAGGGTATACATGTATTCGAGTATTTATGGTCTTACAAGATTCCACATGTTTTCCATCATAATTAATTTAAGAATTTTTAAGTTTTTTATAAGACTGCTAAATGAAATAGTTTGCACTATATTTGTCCATAGTTTGTTAGAGAGCATCTCCAACAAGGACCCCAAACAGAGCCCTTATTCTACTTTTTGTTACCAGAGTAAAACATCTTAATCCAACAAGGCCCTACTCAAGTTCCTACTTATGGAGGCCCCAAATCTTCTCCCTCGGCCCCATCTCTCAAGGATGTGCAAAGAGCTCCCTACTTCTTGCTAGAATTTTTTTTCATGCATCAATTCACTCCCACACTTCTTTTTTTTCATCCACACGCCACCACCCTATTCCCCTCCTGGCGTGGCACCCCCGGTGAATACCCTCGAGCCTCGGTCGAACGTGGCTCCCCTCCCATACACCCATCCCATCTATGCCGGCGCCCCTCCCTAGCACCCATCCTGTCTGTCCTAGCAAGGAACTCGACCCCACCATGGATCTCAACTCTGTGCCCCATGCTCCTTGCTCTCCCTATGACCAGTGCTCCAGACCCTACATGTGTTGTCTCGATTCCTTGTCCTCTCTCGCGTCCCCATAGCTCAATCGATTGGAACTACAGTGGATATGGCCAAATAACGAGTGAGTGTTATATGCTAGTGTCTATTGGAATAGATTTGAAGACTCTGATTTAAGAGCTCTTACTAGAGTAGATGCAAAGAAGTAGACCCTCCAAAGAGTAGGGGACCCTCAAACCACTCTTATAGCTTTGGGAGGAGAAGCTAGTAGGATACCGTTAAATGTCAAATATAGCCTGCGATTTAAAAGATTGCTTCCTCCGCGTCTCCAACCCTCGGTGAGGAGGCATCATAATTCCCCATCGTCTGATTCGGCGTCTCCAACCCTCGGTGAGGCATCTAATTCATATGACCCGCGCATTCGTTTCCTCCATCACTTGGGGTGTTGTTTCCAATCTAACAAGAAAGCTGTGGATATATACTTTGGATGTAGATGTAGTCAGCTAGCCCCTGCGAAACCAACGGCCGGCCGGCTGGGAGTGAGACCGAGAGAGCCATGGCGGAGGTCGCGGCGGGTGCCGTGACCTCACTGCTGGGCGTCATCCGCAGTGAGGCACGGCTCCTGCGCCTCGTCGGGAGCGACGTGCAGTTCATCAAGGAGGAGATGGAGAGCATGAACAGCTTCCTGGCGCACCTGGCCCGGTCAGCTCCACCTGGCGGCGAGCATGACGAGCAGGTGCGTACCTGGATGAACCAGGTGCGGCTGCTCGCCCAGGACTGCAACAACTGCATCGACCTCTACCTGTACCGCAGGAACCCCGACATCCACCGCGCCAACAGCGGCCTCTGGCGCTACCTCTGGTGGGTTCCCTGGTTGCTGCACAAGTTGGTGGCGCAGCACCGGGCGGCCGTCCGGCTGCGCGAGCTCAAGGACAGGGCGCGCGACGTCGGTGAGCGACGGCTCCGGTATGGTGTGGAGATCCCGTCCAACCTGGCGGCAACAGCGGGGCACTCACCTCCGTCTATGGCTAGGCTGGTGTCGGCGGCATCATCGTCGGCAGTAACAGGTGGCTATGCCTGTGCTGCAGGAGACGATGAAGAAGACGGTGACGATGATCAACACGCAGTGGCCTTGCTTTCTCGCACTCTGGACGACTATGTCAAGGCAAAGATACTGGAGTGGTATGAAGTAATTCCTCCATGCGCCAAAGAGACATTGTCCCTAGCCATCGTGGCCCCGGATAGAGGTCCGGATATCATCGTCACTTTTGCAAATGAAACTTTGGTTGACAAAAAACACTACTACGGTTGCGTTGTCTTGGTCGACACCCCGGCGCTCCACCCGGATCTTTATTATTATTCACCAATAAGACCCAAGGATGTTCTCTACTACATCTTGCGCCAGCTCAAGCTCAAGTCAAAATCCAAATCTCAGAAGCAAGGCACAGATCAAGGGGAAGGGGAGGAGGGTCTTGGTTTTTGGCAACGTTACCACCAACAACGGCTTATTTATGATGACAAAAAGATAGTGCTTTGCAAAATCAAGAGACGTATAGAAAATATGAAGATCTATGAAAAGCTTGACAAGATCAAGAAAGGTCTTAAAACTCGATCACCGGCGGGCCAGCAGAGGACGGACATGGATCAGATACATGTTCTTCTTAAGCAGCTACTCCGGGCATATGTGCCCTCGTCTCAACAAAACCAATTGATGAGGAACAAATTCATGCCTAATAGATTATCAGCATCGGACGACATCATCGTTGCAGTAGCCGAGAAGCTTAAGGAGTATATGGAAGCAGATGAACAAGGAGGAGAAGAAGGTGTAGAAAAAGAACATCCTGAAGGAGGAAAAGAAAAGGTAGAAGTAACTGGAGGAGGAGGAGAAATAGTAGAAGAAGAACCTGGAGGTGGAGGAAGAGGAGGAGAAATAGTGGAAGAAGAACCTGGAGGAGGAGCAACTGCTAATGATGAGAAGGATGACGGCAGTTTTGACGATGACGACAAAGAAGATGAAGAAGAAGACAAACAAGAAGAAGAAGAAGAAGAAGAAGAAGAAGAAGAAGAAGAAGAAGAAGAAGAAGAAGAAGAAAGGAAGATTTGTCTCCATATAAAGCAGTATGTACACATACTACGGCAAGTGTTCCCGAAGACCAGCAGCTGCTGCAACAGATCCGCATCAGACCAAGCTACAGATACTACATTGGGAGAGGATCAAATCAAACAAATGATCGACGAGTCAAATCAAGAGATCTTACTGGAACCTCAGGGAGGCAAACATGACACGGTGCAAGATGCTGCAGGTCAAAACAAAGAAGATGATATTTTCACAACAATAGTGGACAAGACAGTGGATAAAATCAGGCATGAATTCAAAGAGCAGCTGAAGATCAAAGGGCTTGTGGACGATATTAGACGTCAATTGAAGCAAAAATGTCCCCTGTTTATCCTCAAACTTGATCAGACGGTGAATCTACCCAGATGGGAGGATACCAGAAATGCATTGAGCCTGCTAGCATGCAGTGCTGATGTACTGATCTTAACAACCGCAAAGGAACTCCAGCAAGCAAAACAATATTGCTATCCACCAAAGTGTGAGCCTATAGAATATTCTCTTGTTGGCCTCTACTATGATACAGTACTCGAGATTACTAAAGATCAGAAAGAAGAGAAGTACGATCCCCAGATTTTTCGCAAAATCCTGGTGCTGTGTGAGCCACATGAATTCCTCATGAAGATGTTCACTCATGCTTTGTTCTTTAATCCCAAGAGGAGCAATGAGGAGTTAAACAAGCTGCATAAGAACTTACAGGCTTCACCAAAACTGTTTGACATCATTGCTAAGAAGATGTTCATGTTCTCTTACACTGATATGCCTAAAGAATACAAGTCCTGCTTGTTGTACCTAGCTATCTTCCCTCCAGGACACAAGATCAGGAGGTCCACTCTGATTGGACGGTGGGTAGCAGAAGGCCTGATATTCAAGGAAGATTGGCCCAGTTCTGTGCGCCGGGCCAACCGATGTTTTGATGAGCTCATCAACCGGTGCCTTGTTGATCCTGCTGATGATAATGGTGCTGCAGGAAAGGTCAAGAGCTGTGTGGTAAGTGATCTAGTCCATGGATTCATTACCAAGATCGCCAAAAAACAACATATTGTGGAGACACGTCTGTCACGACACTTGGCTCGCCACTTCTCCATTTTCAATGATCTCCAGCTCCGCAGCTCCGAAAGGATTGATGGATTCTTCCAAAGGCTCTCCGAGTCATCTCGAGTATCCCTGCTCAAGGTGCTAGATCTAGAAGGTTGCCAGTGCTTTGGTCGGAAGAACCAACGCTACCTTGAGGACATATGTAGCAAGATGTTGTTGCTCAAGTATCTTAGCCTAAGAGGAACAGATGTTACTCAGCTGCCCAGTAAAATCAACGATCTCCGTGAGCTGGAGGTATTGGATATCCGACAGACCAATGTGCCTATGAATGCAACAGCAAATGTCCTGCTCCTGAAGCTGAAGCGTCTGCTTGCTGGTAACACTGATCGGACTCCAAGACCAACCCTCAGAGCTAAGGAATCAGTATCTACTGCTGTCCAAATTCCTCATAAGATTGAGAAAATGGTAAACATGGAGGTACTATCTAATGTGAAGGCCCGGAGCAGTCCAGATTTGAAAGATATTGGAAAGCTATGGCAACTAAGGAAGCTCGGAGTGGTAGTCGATGACGACTCCAGTTACCTCAAGAATTTGCTTGGAGCAATCAGTGATCTGCACGAGTCCCTCTGTTCTCTGTCAATCACTCTTCCCACAGCTACAAGTCAAGAGTTGCCAGAAGTATCACTCAATCTCAAACATCAACCCAAGCTTCTTGAGAGTCTGAGCATCAGCGGAACCACACAGAAGGGATTTCTTCCATTGTTTGTCAAAGATGTTAACAACCTTGTCAAGGTTACTTTGAGTAGCACCTCACTGAACCGGAACAATCTTAAGGACCTTGCCAGACTGCCTAAATTACAGCTCATCAGGCTCCGCCACATTGCATTCACCAAATCCAAGAGAGAACTCATCTTCAAGCAGGACGAATTCATATCTCTCAAGTACCTTCTTGTTGAGGGATCCACCTTCACTAAAGTTAGCTTTACGAATGGAGCAGCCTGTATGCTTGAGAAGATGGTTTTGTCTTTCACTAACATGGAGTCTGTTTCTGGAGTAGAAGGTCTTCAAAAATTGGAAGAGGTCGAGTTGACAATGAGCATGAGCAGCAGCAACAAGAAGAACAACGACACGTTGCTATCATCATTTAACAATGGCAAACAAATAGTCAAGCTGACACTTGTCGGTACGCCTGAGCAAGGTGATCAACAAATCCAGAGCCTGATTAAATTCAACAAAGGGGAGTTCCAAAAGCTCAGACTTCTTACTGTTGACTGCTCTGCCACCAAGGTTGTCTTCACCAAAGCATCTGCTCCTAAGCTCGAGAAAATCGTTTGGTCCTCATCCACGTCTCTCTATGGTATCGACAACCTGCCAAGATTGAAGGAACTCGAGTTCAACGGTGACCTTGTCCCTAAGGTGGTGGAAGAATCCCGTAAAAAACATAAAAACGAACCTAATCTCAAACATAATAAACCAGAAATCCAAGGCCAAGCAAAAGGAGGCGAACAAGAGGACGACGAAGATGCTGCAAGGTTCTCACTGTTCTGCTGGAAGAAACAAGTCTGACGTGGAGAAGCCTCTCCTTTGATCCCATGGGGTGGTTTGTGTGTGATAGTGTGGATAAATTCCGGTTTGTTCTGCTTGTCCATTTGCTTCTGTCTGCTATGCCAGCGCGTTTGTTTGTGTTCTGTGTTGATCTACTCCAACTGTTCACCGTCATCCTGGTTTTCAGAGTCTGTCTTAGTTTCAGTTTGCAATCAGTTTCGTCAGTCTAGTTCTTATTCAGAGTTGTAAGCCTGACGCGTGCTGGTTCATGCGGAGGCACGTCCGAGTCCTCCACGGCTCTTGTGCGGTCGTGGGATGGCACGATCGTAGTGGCGCTCGTGCCGCGCATTCAGGTCCTTTGTATTTTCCTTTATAATATTGCAATCGATAAACGGAAAAACGCTGCCAGTTGACAGCACCAAACTAGCTGAGTTCATCTTTGTTTTCCGAGTGCGTCTTTCACAGTTCGCCGGCGGTGAGAAACTTCGGGCGAGCTCCAACAATTGGTATCAGATCGGTTAGCGTTCTGGGTGTGACACGATGTCCGTCCAGTCCTTCCGATCAACGCCGATCCTCGGATCGAATCGCTCCCCCTCGCCGCCGCCGCCGTGCCGCCGGGGCCCGGGTGTCGCAATCGCCTGGTCCGCGCCATGGACGTCGTGGAGGGATCATCGTCGAGCGCATCATCAAGGAGACCGGACAAGTCCAGTACCCCATGCTCACGCGTACCAATTACCAGAATTGGGCGCTGCTGATGAAGGTGAAATGGAGGCGGCTGGAATCTGGCAAGCCATCGCGACGACAGGCTGGCCATGTCCGCCATCCTGCACTCGGTTCCCCCAGAGATGCACTCCTCACTCTCTCGCAAGCGCACCGCGCGTTCGGCTTTGTACGCGGTGAAGACCGTGTGCGTTGGCATCGATCGCGTCCGCGAAGCCACGTCAAGGCAGCTTGTGAAGGAGTTCGGCGAGAACGTCAACGACTTCTCCCTCCGAATCACCGGCCTCGCCAACAACATCCTCATCCGCATCCTCGGCATAGACATCGACGACGCGGACGTCGTCAAGAAGATGCTCCACCTCCAAGTAGTCCCTGAACACCGGAACAGATCGCCTACTCGATCGAGACGCTGCTCGACGTCAACAACCCCTGCATCGAGGAGGTGACCGGGCGCCTACGCGCCATCGAGCAGCGGAAGAAGAAGCCGGCAGCGACATCATCTTCAACCGTCGACAAGCATGGCTGTCTGCTCCTCACGGAGGAGTGGATGGGCCGGCTCAAACTTCGCGAGAGTGGAGAAAGCTCCGGCAACTCCTCCGGCAGCGCCAACACGAAGCGCGGCAAGACCCGGCGTGGCGGCGGCGGCGGAGGCGGCCGTGATGGCAAGAGTCGTGAGTGCTCCGGAGTCCGGACAATCCCAGGAGATGACAAACGACAAATGCCCGAACTGCGGCATCAAGGGCCACTAGGCCAAAGATTGCCGGAAGCCGAAGGAGGCAAGGAGCAGGCCCATGTCGCCGAAGGCGAGGAAGAAGAAGAGCAGGCGCACGCCACCGGGTTCTCTTCCCCCTTCGACGTGGGCACCGCCCCCTTCCTTCGGTTCCGCCGCGCCTTCCTCGTCCTCTTCTCCCTCGCGTCCGGTGAGCAGTTAGCGCGCCCCTCCGATCTCCTGCCTTTCTCGAGCCGCCGCGCCGCGCCTAATCAGGCGGTGTTGGCTGTTGTTGTGCAGAGGTCGAAGGGATCCATTCCGTGTTCGGGCACATGGCAGGCAGCAGACAGCAGATGGCCGCGCTCCTTGCCTCTACCACTGCAGCTGCGCTGTTCCCCGGTGCCATTTCTGACTGTTATCTCTGACAAAATGTAAGGTTTGGGGATGAATGCTTTTTGCTCAATTTGTCAGTTGTGTAAGACAAGTCTTCGTTTGGAGTTCAGAGTATGAATTTATGTTAGGTGGTGTAACATGTTGCATAGCCTGTTAAATCCCCTCGTATTGTTTGGTGTCATATAGCGGTGCATTTCAAGTTAGACTTTGATCTGAGATCCTATTCTGGTGTTTAAACGGAGTAAACTGACTAACAAGGTGCTGTTAATGAGCCTCAGTTTTCGGGTTGAAGGCTTGAAGCCACTTCATGAATAGTAGTACGTACCTGGTACATGCTAGCTTTTTCTGTTTACAAATTTCAGTTTGAACTAGATCAGATGCCAATTGAATGACCATAGCCTAGAGATCTCGTCGTGGTCTTGTACTGGAGTAGGCTTACCATTTTCATTTTGTGACGGGGAGTGATTGAGAACCAACATCTGCACCTGTGTTTCTGAATCCAGCAGTGGTGTAAATTTCCTGTTCTTATACCACCTAATTACTAGCTATTATTTTTTCATGTTATATGACCGTTGAAAACTGTGTGTCTTGGTACAACATGAAGATCCTGAAGATTAGTATATAGCTAATGCGTAGATAATTTGTAGTTCTATGCATTACTTGTTAGTTGTTAATCTAACAATTTCATGTTTTTTCTACACCTGCATTACTTGATATATTAGGCTGGTAGGAATTGCAGAGTATGATCTACACCTTGGTATGGTTCATGTTTTTTCTTCTCTTTGTGTGTGTAGTTTTTTGTTCCATAAGCTACATGTATCCTTTGCAGCAGGTACTGTTATGTGATGCAGCTGTGAGTGGTCTATGTTTTTTTATCCTTCCTGTAGTAGCTATAACTTAAAGATTTTTCACAAATAATGATTATAGACCACGAAGGGCTTGCATATTGTACTGGGTACTTCAGCTTGCAGTAGATGTTGTGAAGAGTTTCAGTGCGCTTCGTTGTTCATGGATCAACAATTTCATTCTGGCTTTTGCCTCTTCAGTGTTCTCTTTCTGTTTTGAGACGTGTCTTGTGCTGGAGCATGAGAAGGTTTGTGTATTTTTTTGAAACACTAATGTGTTATTATTGTGTTGTCTACGTTGTATGAATCATTAAATGCTTGATCCTGAATTTTCAGCAAGACCAGAAGTAAGATCTGCTGTTTGATACCTTCTGGCTGATGACATTCTTTGAATCAGTGTCCCTTGTTGGAAGTCAAGAAATCACAAATGTATTGGTTAGTGATGACGACAGTAGATTCTTATTGCTTCCCTATGCATTTGCAGCCACACTGTCGGTAGTGGGGATTCTGTATATCAGAAATGCATCAAGTACCTGTCAGAGTGTCAGCATGCATCTGCCATCGGGAGCTACCAAAAATCATTTTTTGCTCATGTCCTCAGAGGTGAGTGGTGAGTCATCTTGCTTACTCCAGAGCTTAATTTCTAATTTCTGTTGATAAAACTCCATCTATATTCCATAAATAATGTCCAGGAGCAAATTTTACCATATCTAGATACAACTGAGAAATATAAGTGGTTCAATGTTTGATGACATTGTGTTTGATCTGCAGTAGTCTTCACGGTTTTATTACAAAACATGTGCAGTTCTCAATTCTGTAACCTTTTAAAGATATTGCCATTGACTTTGTTGGATGTTTGCCATGAATATTTTAACATGAGACATAATTATAATTAAATATGACCAAGACGGGCGCACTGCCAGATATTTATGGGTTTGTCAAGATAAATTTAGCATATGAGGGATCACTTTAGTCAAATTTGAGAGATGTTTCTGAATTCTAATTTGAAAAATGCATAAAACGAAGCAACCACCTCTCACAATTTGAACTCGTGAGTCATGATTGTTGCAGGTTAAGCTTTTCAGTGCTTGCATGTTCCATTTCCATTTCTGACCACAATTAATGTGTTTCAGACAAAAGAGTACTGATTCTGGTCTTAGCTCAAGCAAGCATCCATTTTGCTGTCTCAACCTTTTGGTTTCTCTGGGCACCAACCATAGTGGTATGAGTCCAAGTTCTTCCTGCTAGTTTTCTGCCTGGTTTTCTGTATGAGTAGTGTTTCAGAAACTTGAGGCTGAAATTCTGCTACCGTTCTCATAGATCTGTTGATTGACACAGGCTGACGGAAGGTATGCTCAATTGTCAGTAATTTACCCCTGTTTCTTGGCATCAAGAATGCTTGGAAGTGCTGGTTTTCCATGGTTTTATGGAGAGCTCCCTTCCGGAATGAAGACAGCTTTACAATAGCTTATATTGGCGCTGGACTCGCTTTGTCTATTGTGGCTTATGATTACCAGGTCTACTGTCCACCGTGCATATCTCTAACGCAACAACATGTAGTTGGAAATTGGCATCCAAAGTCTAATGAGAAGTTATATTCATCCTGCAGGAGATTGTAGCACTGGTGATAGTGTTCTGCATCTTCCATGCATGTGTGGGCTTTATTCTGCCTTCACTAGCAAGATTGAGAACAATGTAAGTTGCTGGTGCAAGTACGATCAAGCTTAAATGACAGTCTAGCAGTTTCTATTTACAAAGCTGGCATCACTGTAGGTACCTGTGTGGGGGTATGATGAGCTTTTCACTGTCACTGGTAAATGCCAGTATCTTTGTTTTCCTGTTACAGGTATCCATCTGAAGTCCCCTTGTGAGTGAACGAACGTTTTTGTGCAAATGTTCACACAATGCTGAGATTAATTCTTTCTTCATCTGCAGGGTGCCGACCATCGACGCGTCGCAAACTCAACCATCATGAGTCTTGCGTCCTATGGCCTGTTAGGAGCTGGTGCTGCATTCATATGTTGATCGAGGAGACGAGGAGGGGAGAAAGCACACTCGGCAGAACGCCCGTAGTTTGTAGGAGCTTGCGGCACCTATGGCTAGCATGCTAGTATCTCACGTTTTCTTGTTGACTCCCCTCGTCTGGAAACATGAAACTCATGGTGACACCGTTGGTCACTGGTGACTTGCGCATCATATCAGGAGTTTTTTTTTCTCGAATACGCAAGAGGATTACATATCATTATATTAAGAGGATTAAAGCGTGATATACAAAAATATGGCCAGAGGCCGAAAAGGGCGTGAGGCTACATCATTGAATGAACGACGTTGCTTTGCCCCCGCCCATACCCACTGATCGGCTTCAGCTCTGATGATGAGCAGGAGGTCTTGCACCGTGGTCATGGCCTCCCTGAAGTAACGCGCGTTCCGCTCCTTCCAAATTTGTCAAGAGACGAGAGCGAAGAGGGAGTCGAAGCCCTTCCTGTGGTTCCCGTGCCAGCCACTTCTTAGGCGCCTCCACCAAGTGATGACGGAGCGCTGAACCGGCGGCAGCTGCTGGCCGAGGGCTGTGCATATGTGGAACCAGATCTCCCGAGCATATGGGCAGCAGGTTAAGATGTGGTCAATCGATTCAGGGGCCTGGTCGCAGAGGTAGCACTCTTCTTGCGCCTGAAGCCCGTGCCTTGCTCGTCGATCATTCGTCCAGTGCCTCTTTCTGAACGCCAGCCACAAAAATATCTTCACTCGCAGGGGCGCCCACGTCTTCCAAATGAGTGAGTGGCCGCGGAAGGGGACGGAGCCAGGAAAAAATTTATCGGCCGAAATCTCCCGATATTTCCGATATATCCTTTTTATCCGTAGGTGCCGATAAGAAAATATCTATCTTTTTCGTATAAATTTTGCTTAAATTTATTTAAATTTACTTAAATTCAAATTAAATTTTATTTGAATTTGGTCCGATATTTCCGATATATCCTGTTTATCCTCTTTATATGTGACCCCCGATAAATTTTAATTTCTGAAAATGAAAACCTTGGACGGAGCCCGTGTGCAGCCTGGCGTTGGCCGACTTGGCGGAGTACTCGCCGTCCGGTGTCCACCGCCAAACGGTCCTGTCCGGCTGGTCGCTCAGAGTGACATTCTCTGTGGCTTCCCAGAGGTCTAGGTATTCTGCCACCGCTATGTTGGTGAGCCCTCCGGTGATCGACCGTGTCGCCAATCCCTGCCGAACAGTTTGGCGCGCCTTGGTTCTTCTGGAGACCATTTGCGCAAGGTTAGGCGCGATGTCAGGTACTGCAGCCCCCTGCAGCCACCGGTCCTCCCAGAACAGGGCGCTGTTGCCGTCTCCAATTACGGTGAACTTGGATGCACGGAAGAAGGCTTGCACCTCAGGGTCGGTGTTGATCGGCAGCTCGCTCCATGCGCGGTTGTTGTCGGTCTTCTGCAACCACAGCCACCGAGTTTGGAGTGCGAATCCTGCGAGTTTTAGGTCCGTGATCCCAAGGCCGCCAAGTTCTGTTGGCCAGCAGCATGTTGCCCATGCCACCATGCACTTGCCGCGCACTGCTCCGTCTTTCCCGACCCATAGGAATTTCCTACAGATCACATCGATCTCATTCCTCGCCCAAGGAGGCAAGCTATCGGCCATCATCGAGTAGATAGGAATTGCCCGGAGAACCGACTTGATCCACACGAGCCGTCCACTCCTCGCCATCAGGGAGCCATGGCAGGGCGGCATCTTCCTAGCGACAGCCTCCACTAACGACTGAAATTCTGCCTTCGGCACTTTCTTCGTACTCAGAGGCAGCCCCAGGTATCTGACGGGAAAGTGCTTGACCTTTTTTGGGAACGTGCTTGACACGTGTTTCATTAAGAGGAGTTTAGATAAAACGTTTACACGCCCATCAGCACTAGTTGGCGAGATGCCGCCTAGCGTGCGGGTAAACACAAACACAAATCACCGTTCAACGGTGGGACTGAAGCTGTTGTACTGACTAAGGAAAGTGCTTGACCTGGCAGCCGAGGATTTGCACAATCTCCCCTAAAGCGTCTTCACCCCCGAAGATTGGAGTGATCGAGCATTTTGCAAGATTTGTCTTCAATCCGGTTGCCTCTCCGAAGATCGTCAGGAGTTAGGTGCTAGATATTGTTTTTCCTTTTTTTTTAAGAAATCGTTGAAATTGAAGGTTGACACATGCTGTATACATGTAATTAACGAAGGTGGAATACCTTGAACAAAGATATAAAGTTGTTATTGGACAAATTTTTGTGCCATGTAAATACCAGATTGTTCATCAGTTTTGGCCCCATAAGTAACACCATGGTTGAGGTGGTTTGAGTAAATGTGGAATGAAGGTTGACACATGCTGCATACATGTAACGAAGGCGGAATACCTTGACCAAAGATACAAAGTTGCTATTGGACATATTTTTGTGTCATGTAAATACCAGATTGTTCATCAGTTTTGGCCCCATAAGTAACACCATGGATGAGGTGGTTTCGAGTAAATGTGGAACACCTTGTTTCTGTTGAGCTGTTTACTACATACGCACTGGGTTGCGTAGCACAAGCCGTGGTCGGTGCCACCAGAGGCCAAACGCATTCTGCGGAAGCTGAGCTGCAGGGTGCATCATTCTGAAGCTAAGCTAGGAGCAGGCACGGGGATATCAGCAGGCCTATGAGCATCTTTGTCAGGCTTATCACGATCCTAATAACTAAGATTAAGACCGAACACGACTAAGATTACATTCAGCAAGAATAAAATTTTATATTTGCCTATACATATGATGGGAGAGAACTGGGTTGGAAATCTTGTCCTGAACGATGGTGAGATTGCCTGAAGCTGCTATGCGTCCGGGACATGTGGTGTTGCATCTGTGTTTCTAATAATTTGGTTATCGACAATAATGGGAGTTCACATGTAATTTGATCGCTAGCTTGTGAAGATGTGGTGCATCTATCTGACAGGAAAACAAAATTCCAGTAGCAGAAGCTGTGGTGGCGGCGACGGTGGCGTCCATGCGATGGGATAGATCCACCAGACGAATACACGATCGATATGCAGTCCTCATTCTCCGCTCCGGGGTGAGAAACAGGACGTACGCTGACAGGCTGAAACGGATACTGGATGAGAGAGTTTACCCTGGCGACCGGCTTGTGAATAAACTTTTTTTTTTTTTTGCAAAAAAGACTAGAAGTAAGCCTAACTCAACTAGTTGGGTGAGAGGTGTGGCAATGCACCCAACCACTGTTGGGTATCAGAATCAAGGATACCCGGAAGGAGGCGGATGGCCGCAGACGCTAACTCCCCCGATGGTCAAAAGCGTATCTTGGCCTTCGCCTGACCCCGAGGGCACAGGCTCCGTCTCGCCCGGCCCTGAGGGCACAGGCTCCATGTCGCTCGGACCCGCGGGCGCAGGTGACGCGGGCTCCACCTCGCCCAGCCCCTCGGGCGCGGACTCCGTCTCGCCCGACCCCTCGACGAGGGACTCCACCTCGCCCGACGGGGCCCATACCGCCCCCAACCACTACGAGTCTTATAGCACGAGCCCGGGGTCAAAACTTCTGACACCGAAAAGAGAGCAGGCGAGCCTTGACGTGACTCGCAGCCACGACAGACCATGCCTAAGGACACACGTCGCCAACAGCGTCGGTCGTACAATGAAGACTCTGAGCTAGCATAACCAGAATCATCCACAACAAGCCTATTAGGAGAATCAGGAGTAACATGGACTGCATCGGCCCCATACTTATTCGTCATCCCTTCATTGATGATCTGATAGGTTGAAGAAGGATGATAGCCATTAGAGTTTTTACCAGGTAGCATGGCCATTCCTTCTGTGCTTAGAATAGATTCAATAGCCGTCCTAGAAGAGGAACCAAGCAAATCTTGAAAAGTGCCGTGCATCCCTAGTACATAAGAAACCCCCATGCTCAGGATAATTGAAATAAAAGTATGGGTAACTCTATGATAAAAATAAGGGATCGTGTACTACTGTAAGTTTTTATTTAGATGATTACCTGAAAGAGAATCAGTGGATCTGGAGAGGGTGGAATCAAATGGACCTGGAAACACGCTGTCTTGTGCAGAAAAATTATACATTTTTCCAAAAGCATCTATGGGCGTACCTAAATTGCTCATGCCATGCTTAATAACACCGGCGCATGGAAGATCTAAATGTGTGGTACTTTAACATAGATGAAAGGAAAACAAATAACCTCACCGGAATTTTTTATGAGTTTGTTCGCACAATATTGACACCATCCACCAGACCAATAATTATAAAAAAATGATAAAGATCTGATAGCAATTAATTAATTAATTTTGATTGTTTTTTTGGTCTGGAAAATAATCTATCCCTCAACAAATATACAATAAACTGATGTCGCCATTTATGAATACACTTCCAATGAGCAGCACAAAGAGTTACTGCTATAGCGAATAGGAGGAGATTTGTCTAGCATAGTAGGCTATAGCACTTGCTAGATTTCTGTAATAAAGTGTCCAAGTTCAGGTTTAGGTTTACAAAAACCAACATTACACATTAACAACATTAGTCCAACATATGCAATATGATAGATTTGCCTAGTAATTCCAAAAAATATAGGTTAATTCTTCATTCTTAATTTTGGCAAGTTCATATGTTCAAAGCAGTACAAATTCACAGGTTCAGAGGCAAGTTCAGTGCATCACAAGTTCAGAGGCCATAGTATTACAATTGTGCAGCCTAACACTTGTTATCGAACTATTTAGGTTTTGATCAATCCACATTCTGTTAAAATCAAAGTTCTTGTACAATATTCCTCAATGACCAGATATTTAATGACAGTCAGATAGCCTGCATTAGACTATGTGTTCATAACAATATACATTCTGTTAAATTCAGAAGAGATTCAACTGTAGTCCTTAGAAGAAATTTTTTGAAAGAACCAGGCATACTTGATTACCCACAGACAAAAAGAAGCTACTGTGCTAAGGGCAAAGTGAATTGAAGTGTTGTAACATGGCCACCGCGAGTGGCGG